ATCCCTCACTTCCTGTCCCCCAACACTTGACCGACCTTTTGTTCTATGTGGTTTTGCCTTTTCAGAATGTCATTGCTGGAAACATACACCATGCAACCTTTTCACACGTACTTTAGTTATATTCATTCACACTTACTAAATTATATTCATTTAAATTTCTTCCTCTTGTCTTTTCATGACTTGATAGCTCATTTCTCTTTCTGTATATCAGTTAATATATATTATATGGATATACCATAGTTCATTTATACACTCATCCATTGATGTATATTTTAGTTGCTTCCAAGTTTTGGCACAAAAGAATAATGCTACTCTATAGCTGGATACAAAATCAACACACAAAAATCAGTCACCTTCTGATATACAAACAATAAATCTGAAGAAGAAATCAAGAAAACCATCCGTTTTATTATTGAAACAAAAAAAAATAAAGTACTTGGGAATAAACCTAACAAAAGAGGTAAAGGACCTATACAAAGATAACTATATAACAAAGTTAAAAGGAATAAAAGAAGGCACAAAGAAATGCAAAGACAGGGGATCATGAACTGGAAGAATCAACATTATCAAAATTGCCATCCTACCAAAAGCAATTTACAGATTCAATGCTATTCCAATAAAATTTCAATGACATTCCTCAAAGAAATAGAACAAATATTGATGGAGATCATATGGAGCCACCAAAAACCCCAAATAGCCAAAGCTCTCCTAAAAAAAAAAAAAAAAAGGAAGGGAATGGAGGTATCACACGGCCAGATTTCAAACTATACTACAAAGCCATAATCATTAAAACTGCATGCTTTTGGAACAAGAACAGACACATGGATCAATGGAACTGAATAGAAAATCCAGAAATAAACCCACAGATTTACAGTTAACTAATCTTTGACAAAGGAGCAAAGAATATGCAATGGAGCAAAGATAGTTTGTTCAATAAATGGTGCTGAGAAAACTGGGCCACTACATGCAAAAGAATGTACCTTGACTACTACCTCACACCATGCACAAAAACCAACTCAAAATGGATTAAAGAACTAGACATAAGACCTGAAACCATAAAATACATAGAAGGAAATACAGAAAAAACACTACATGACATACACCTCAGTAATATCTTTAAAGACACATGATCCAAAGCAGTGATAGTGAAGGAAAAGATAAACAGCTGTGACTACAGCAAATTAAAGGGCTTCTGTACAGCAAAGAGACAGCAACCAAAACAAAGAGATATACCCCACTGATTGGGAGAAAAATTTTGCATACAACACTAATGATAAAGGACTTATCACAAAAATCTACAAAGAACTGACAAGACTCAACAAAAACAAAGTAAATAACCCAGTCAAAAAAATGGGCAGAAGAGCTAAAAAGAAACTTCTCCAAAGAGAAAGCAAACAAGAGACCAACAGGTGTATGAAAAAATGTTCAATATCACTTGTAATCAGGGAAATGCAAATCAAAACTACAATGTGATACCATCTTACACCAGCGAGAATGGCACATAGTAAAAACAACTAGCAACGACAAATGTTGGCAAGGATGTGGAGAAAAAGGAACTCTCCTACACTGCTGGTGGGAGTGCAAACTGGTCCAACCACTATGGAAAGCTGTGTGGAGGTTCCTCAAACTGCTAAAAATGGAGCTTCCATATGATCCAGCAATTCCACTCCTAGGTATCTACCTAAAGGACACAAAAACATTAATTCAAAAGGACACCTGCACACCTATGTTTATAGCAGCACTATTGACAACAGGTAAGCAATGACACATCCCAAATACACCAAAATAGATGACTGGATCAAGAAGATATGGTACATATACACAATTTAATATTACTCAGCAATCAAAAAAGATAAACTCATGCAATTTGCAGCAACATGGATGGAGCTGGAAGGGATCATGCTCAGTGAAATAAGCCAGAAAGAAAAAGAAAAATACTGGATGGTCTCACTAATAGCAGGAATTTAGAAAACCCAAAAAAGGGATCAGGAAAAAGACTAATTATAATAAAGTAAAAATCAAAATCAACAGGCAATTATAAACCAGAGAACACTATGGGGGGGAGAAGGGAGAAAGATCAAAGCAAGGGTGGTGAGAATTTTACAGGGACTATAATCAAGATGAAAATGCATACATTGTACAAAAATGAAAAATGGTATATATACACAATGGAATATTACTCAGCAATCAAAAAAGTTAAACTCATGCAATTTGCAGCAACATGGATGGAGCTGGAAGGGATCATGCTCAGCGAAATACGCCAGAAAGAAAAAGAAAAATACCAGATGATGTGGTATTTTTAAAAATACCAGCAGGAGATTAGAAAACCTAAATAAGGGACCAGGAAAAAGAATAACTATAATAAAGAAAAAATCAAAATCAACAAGCAACTATAAACCAGAGACACGCTACGGGGGGTGGGCAGAGAGAGGCAGGATTGGGGTAAAATTAAGGGGGTTGCTATTGTATGGGGAATATAACCAACATGAAAATGCATACATTGTGCAGAAATGAAAAATGATGTAAGAAATACATAAAAAAATTTAAATGTGAAAAATATATAAAATAAAATAAATTTTAAAAAAGATTAAAGTTACTCTAAATATCTATGTGCAGGTTTATTTGTATGTGTGTGTGTGTGTGTGTGTGTGTGTGTGTGTGTGTGAACATGAGCCCTCAACTCACTTAGATAAATATCCTGGAGCACAACTACTGGGAAATATAGAAGACAGTCTAAACTAAATAGTTGGGACCTCCCTGGTGGCACAAGGGGTTAAGACACAGCCTGTGAAGCTGTCTGCAGCCTCTGTAGCATGAGTTCAATCCCTGGCTGGCCAGGGAGATACCCACATGGCACAGCAGACTTCTGATTTGCCCACTGCTCCCCTCAGCAGTGTACTTCAGTCGATCTGCCTGTTCTGTTCCCCCCATACCTCTGGCCTGTACCTCAGCTCTTGTGTGCATAAATAAATGAATCTTTAAAAATAAATAAATAAATAAACAAACAAATAAATAAATAAATAAATAAACAAAAAGGTTTAGTTTTGTTAAGAAACCATCAAAGAGTATTGTACTATTGTATTATTGTCTTCCAAAGAGTATTGTACTATTTTGCATTTCTGCCAGAAATAAATGAGATTTCCTGTTGCTCTACATACTTGGCAACATCTGGTTTGTTAGCTGCCAAAGGCCAGCTCCAGCAAAATGTCAGGTCAGGCGTCCCTGAAAGGATGAGACAGCATCGGCGAAACTGAGGGCTGAGGGGAAGGGGAATGAGGCAGATGCAGGCACTCTATCTGGTGCAAGTATCTCCTGCTGAGGGTCTCAGCGGGTCTTTATTTATGCATTAAGGCAAGTGGTGGGATTACATTATCGTATGCATAAAAGCAAAACAGAAATAATCAGTACATTCCTTTTCCATAGATATTTGGCACCTGCGTGTTTTGAGAAAAGAGGTGACCTTTAAAGTTAACAGATAATTAAAACTTATACTCATTATTTCAGCCTAGACAACCACCTAAGACAGCTAGTAGTCCTTGGTACATCCCTATCCGCCAAGGCTAAATATCAGGAGACTCTATACAGCCAGCAACTAGAGACCAGTTGCTTCCTGGTTATCAGTTATTAGAACTTTTTTCTACCTAGAAATTCCTAGTGCAATCAACTTTATGAATCATTAGAAGGCTTCTTTACAGAACTTCCATATAAGGAAAATTGCAGCTAGCTCTGGGTTGCTTACTAGGCATGCTCTGTTACAGTAATTATTTCCCATTGTCAAGTGGGCCAAATTGTTCAGTGTTTAATTTTTAAGCAAGTAATTCTCCATGCCATGTACTTATGATATTCTTATATTTGTAATTTATTGCCCAATGTATTTACTGAGAAGGTCTTTCTTATTATGACCAAGAACAAAAAATAAAAGGATGTTTAATCTTCAGTCCCACGGTGTGAGGCACAAGGAATCTTCAGCCCCTCGGTGTGAGGCTCTTTAAAAGTCTTCGGCCCCACGGTGTGAGGCCCTTTTCTTAGCTGCTTGCCAGTGTCTTATCTGGCTGGGGCAGCAAGGCCCCCTGCAGCAGTTAGCATTCAATTTTAGCCTCAATGTATTATTTTTGTCTATGGTCTATTCTAAATATTTTTCTAGTTTATATTATGATTTGTTTTTATCCATAAGTCACTGTCATTGTGTGAATTATTTCTATGACTATAGGGCTCTCATGATTTAAAATTGCTCTGCACCATACTTGCATTATATGTTATATGTTTTATGGTAGCATGTGAGGAAATTTGTTTTCTGATCCAGTGCGTAATCAGTTCTTTCCATGCTCAGACACTGGATAGTCTCTAATGGTCGTTACCCTAACTAGTGTATCTAGTGAATGCCTAGTAAATGGGTCTAAGTTTTTCCTCAAGCCTGAATGTCCCCTGTCTCAATGCTTTAAATTCTTGGAGATTAAGTTTCTTTGTTCTAACAAGTTATTTCTCAGATGACATCATAATTATAATGGGAGGAATGCAGAATGACTTAACGCTGCACCTAGAAATGTAGAACTTGCTTGCTTGTGGAATAACAGATGATTGCCTAAATACCCTGTGTTGGGACAACCTCTCTTTTTGGACTTTTGTAAAGCTTTGCCTAGTATGTTGGACCTGAAAATATTCCTGAATCTAAAATTCTAATGCTACCTACCCAGGGCACAGCTTTGACAGGACCCTCTATCTGCCCCACCCCTTTACTTCATTGCTTCCCTGACCTGAGATGTTTATGGCCTGACAATAAATTCAGTGATCCAAAGTCCAGAGTCCCCATTCTCCTAACACATACAGCCATGTCTGTGTCTGGGAGAGTCTAAGAAGAACAGTGCAATTTGCATCGACTAATGCTAAATTTCCCCAAGATTTCTATACTTGGGACAGGTGTAGAATGCTAACTGCTGTAGATGATTCTTCTAACTCAACTACCCACCCATCCCAGCTATCATCTGTTTCCATAGCATAACATGGACCCACAGGACACATCTGTAGCCCTCGTGCTCACTTTGGTTCTCAGTCTCCTCAAGTTTGGGTCAGGTAAGTCGCCTAGACCGTACTTTCTCTGTCCCCTTCTTTCGGACTAATACTTTTAGATTTTTTGGCTATAATAGCATAGTGGAATGGGACAATGTTGTTGTTTGCATTCCTCCAGATTTTTTCTTCCCCAGCCTTACATCAATCAATGTCCCACAAAGGCTGTGGGAAAAACAGGGAAGTGTGCAGACCTCAGACACCATGGAAACTATTACCGTAGTCTAGAAAAAACTGGAGTAGAGTGTTGAATAAAGACCATGATAGTAGGGAGAGGATGCCAATTATGTCAGGGTAGATAAGTAACTCAGGTAGGATCTGGGATTTTGGTTGGGGAGATCTCCAATAGAGCACCCAGGTTTTTGACTTAAGTATACGAGGGGAAGAAGAAACTGTTTAGGGAAAGAGAATTGTGTCTAGCTTTGGACACATTGAGCTAGAAACACCTATGATATGTGACCTGAGGGTGGGGAAAATATCCAGATCTTTAAGTGAGGAATAAATTGGATTCTAGCATATTCTGGGCTGAAATTCAGTGTGATTTATCCTTCCAGTTCCTATCACAACAAAGCCTGCTGCGCTACCAACTCTGATCTCTGTTTCCAAGAGAGGCAGTAGTATATTATGGAAATTATCTTAGAGGCAGAAAGACTTCATTTTTAAAAATTTTATTTTTTAAAAAACTCCCATTCCTCTGCTTTACATGTTTTGGCTCATAACTTCTCTAGGTTTTATTTTGCTCCTTGTGACATAGAGACCATGTCACATTCAGAGAGGGTGTTACAAGAACTGTATAAGTTTGTGTGCGTAAAACACACAATGCAGAGCTCCACTAGCACATGGCACATGATCAACAAGCTTCTCCTCACTGATTCCCAAAGAAAGTGCAAATTGTGGGAGGAGCTGCTACCACAAGACTTGACAGCAGTGATGGCTAGTCAGAGAGTCAGAGATGCTCCAGAACTTGTTCCCTGAACTCAAGCACCTCCACAGCCCTGAAGGAACACCAGTAGCAGCCCATCTACCCCAGGTGGGGGCCTGCAAAGTCCAACAAACACTCTATTCACCTCAGTGGATGTGGTCTGTTCAGGATTCTGGGAACAACGTGAGGGATTAGGGAGAGAGATTGTAATGGAGGGAAGCCAGAGCGGGTGGGACAGTGAGTAGGTTCCTGTTGTCAGCAAATAAGACTCAGCCCCCCTGGGACTGAGCCTCTGAGGAGCCATGTGGATGCTGCCTAAGAATCTTCCAAAATTACTGCCTGATGACCTCAGTGGTGACAAAGGCCACCTGGACATCAAACTATGGGCCCTCTGGGCTGCCCACATTGAAGAGGGAACAGGAAGCCCTCAGCAGGTAGCAGAGGCTGAACTATGGGGAGGAGCTGTCAGTGGGCAGGGATGTACTTATCCTACCACAGCAAGAGTCTGAGATGAGTGAGGGACAGAGGTCAGTGTCCATGTTGCCAGGTCAGTGGTTGGTCAGAGACCCTGCTGCAAAATGACATTTTATTGAATAAAATTCCCTCTCAAAATGTGTGAGTGAAATACATTTCAGAAAGATTTATAAAACATGTTTAAAGTAAGAAATAATTGGCTCTGAAGTAAAAATAGTCAGTAAAAATCTAATATGACCCACTTTACCTAGGACATATACTGCATCCCTCATGCATATATATATAGGTGTGAATGATTCAAGAGACATTTCCAATTAGCACAGGTAGAGTGGAAGGGAGTGAGAGTCCACAGTTTGTGGCCTGAGGAGAAATAAAAACATAACAAAATGGTAAGTGTGACTCACAGCAGGAAAATTACTGAAATGGTCATCAAGCAAATATACAAATGGTGAAAGAAGTGGCGTCCCACACTTCCTAAGTGTAATTATGGTTTGTAAGCCCATACTCTGTGCTGAGCACCATGCTGACTGCTAGGCATGACATTCTGAGAAAAACAGACTCTGTCCACACAGAGCTGGAGTCATGCAGGGGACACACACAAAAAGTCTTGAAACAAGATGATAAAGAAAATTTCAATACTGAGGTAAAACAAAGCTGCACAAAGTAAATCCAAGCAAAATTAAGGTAAGACATATTGATTATATTAGATGAAGAAGGATTCATGTCAAAATTATAAAGTGGAAAAAATACAATTACACAAATGTAAAGATACATTTAATGGAAAGGATGCATTGTAATGTGAATATACTAAAGAACAAATCTCATCATGAATCTGGGACAGTTAATAATACATACTTTTCTGTATGCTTGTGAGGAATGAGTGAAGCAACTGGTGTGGAAGCTTTGTGTGAAATACAAGGGGACACACAGATGCAAGGCCCTGGGTTTAGAAAGGAGATTGTGACGAAAGCTCCACACGCTGCAAGCACATCCCCAGGCCACACCAGCCCTGAGCAGGACACTGGGAGGGATTTGCTCAGTTTTCTACTCTGTTTCTTTCATAGGACAGTGGCAGGTGATTGGGCCAGAGAAGATGGTTCAGGTGTTGGTGGGGGAGGATGCAGTGTTCTCCTGCTCCCTGGCTCCTAAGACAAATGCAGAGGCCATGGAAGTGCGCTTCTTCAGGGATCAGTTCTCTGCTGTGATCCACCTGTACAGGGATGGGAAAGACCAAAATGATATTCAAATTCCAGACTATCGAGGGAGAACTGAGTTGCTGAAGGACTCCTTAGGTAATGGGCGTGTCTCCCTGAGACTGAAGAAAGTCACTCTCTCAGATGCTGGCCTGTATGGGTGCTGGTTCAAATCCCGGACTTACGAACAGAACACCAGCTGGGATATGCAGGTATCAGGTCAGTTGCTTATTTTAGAGAACTCAGAACTTAGTTACCTTGTAGAATCATCCTGGATTTTTTTAAAAAAGATTGATGAGAAACAATATCAGTTCTTTTTCTTTTGTGTGTGTAGTACTGTCATTTTATCATATGAGTAGATTTATGTAATTACATCATCAAGATATAGAACTATTCCATCAACATAAAGATATCCATTTGTTACTCCTCTATAGTCACACTCAAATTCTTCATCCAGCAGCTTCTCCAATATCTGGAAGCAATAATCAGTTTCCATCTTTATGATCATATCATTTGAAGACTGTTATGGAAACAGAATAATGAAAGATGGGGTGGACATTATATAATAATTAAGTAATCACTACACCAGATATGACATTCATCAATACATATGCACCAAAATTAGCATCAAAATAAAACAACTATTAGCAAATCTGAAAACAGACATTGGTAGCAACACAAAATTAGTAGGAACTTTGACATCCCGTGTTCACAAATGAACAGATCAACAAGACAGAAAATAAACAAGGAAACAATCACTTTCAAGGAGGAGCTGGAGCACATTGGCTTGTTAGATATAGGGTACTGCACACCAAAAAAAAGCTGATAACATTCTCCTGCAGTGCACATGGAACGTTCTCCAGGATAGACCACATGTTGGGTCACACCACATGTGTCAAGAAATTTGAGAGTACTTCTTTTTTTTTACTGATGAAACAATGGTTTATAACACTGTATATAATTCAGAGGCATAGGATTTATGAATACATCTTCAGATGTATGTTATCACACTACCCCATAAGGTACCCACAGTCGTCCACCATAGTCCATTGGGTACCCTCCATACCCTGCTTTCCAACCACTCCCTCCCCCACTGATATCCTCAAATTTATAACTAGACTTCTAGGGTTTGTTATTGGTTCGGTTCTGTCTGACCCTTTGTTTTGTTTCTCTGTATTCCGCATATAAGTGATACGATCTTGTATTTCTCTTTCTTACTTATTACCATAGAATTATCTCCTCCAGTTACATCTGTGTTGCTGCAAATGGCAAGAATTCAACTTTTCTAAATTTTAGGAGCATTCCGAAGTGTATATAAACTACACATTCCTAATCTTTTTATACTTAAGTAGTTTCCATAATTTGACTATGGTAAATAGTGCTGCAATAATGTAGGAGTACATATATCACCTTGAGTAAATATTTTTGCATTTTTTGTGTAGATATGAAGGAGTGAAATTGATGGATCATGGATCATATAGCAGATCTGTTTTTAATATTTTGAGATACTCCATGTTATTTTCCAAAGGGGCTATACCTGTCTACATTCCCATGAAGATAATAAGTTCTGTTTCTGATGAGAGTTTTATTTTATCATATCTTTAGAAATAACTACTATTGAAGCATTTTATGACAGCTACTTATAAGTCTTTGTCAGGTGATTCCTTCATTCCTTCATTCCTTCATATGATTCATCTCAGTGCTGTTCATTACCATTCAAGTTGTTATTATTCTGTTTATTGGTTTAGTGGGTAATTTTATTTATTTATTTATTTATTTGTTTGTTTGTTTGTTTGTTTATTTATTTATTTATTTAGTGGGTAATTTTTATTGTAGCTCAGATATATTACTTATAATGTTAGGGAACTCTGGATCCTATTTAAAGCTTCTATTTTAGTAGATAATCACCCTATTTAGGTTTAGCACTCAAGTGTTGGTTCTGGTTCCAAAGACAACTTACGCCTTTATTGTACTATTTTGGCCATGCCTGTCCTGTGTGCCTTGGTATGCACTTGTCCCTCTGTCTGACATATTTCTCCCTTTTTTCCCTTGTTAACAATAAAACCATTATTCATTTTACAGAGCAGGGTGGCATGTCACTGCCAGGAAGCAACAACTTCCCCTAACAATCATTTTCTCTTCAGTTCTAATTTTACCATGTTTGCTTAGTCACACATCTCACAATGAAATGTAGTAACTTATAGTTGTCTTCTTTTTTGTCAGCAAGAGCTTTATTATAATGAACTCTGCCTTAGTCACTTACCATATTTAGTGCTTAATAGTATCCATGTATCTAGTAGTTGTTAAATTTGTGTTGACTGAACAAACTATGGGAGAATTTATAGCAGTTTTATAAGTCTAAGTACATGAGAAACAAACATCAACCATTAGGCGAAAGGTGTTATATCCATGTTCTTCAAGAATCTGAGTCAGAACATCTATAGCCTTTGAGTATCATCTATTCTTACAGCCTTTCCTTTTTTTCCTTCTTAGCCTTGGGCTCAGCTCCTCTCATTTCTATGATTGGATATTTCCATGGAGGCATCCAGCTGCTCTGCAAGTCCTCAGGTTGGTTCCCCAAGCCTATAGTGAAATGGAAAAATTCACATGAACATAATTTGCCTTCAGACACAAAGGTAAATACAGATAAACATGGCTTATTTGATGTGGAGACCTCCTTTACCATCCAAGAAAATTCTGGGAGTATATCATGTTCCGTCCAGCTCACCAACAATAGCCAAGAGTTGGAATCCAGGATTTGGATAGGAGGTGAGTGATGGGAAGGAGGAGAAGCAAGGAAGATGGCTGGGTAAAATGAAGGGAGAACAGGAACATCAAGTTCCAAATCCTGTATAGTGCTGTCCATTTTTACTTTCTAATTTAAATATTGAAAGACTGATAAGATATAAAAAAATCACAAAAATTTTATTAGGTGGAAACAATTGTCTGTTATTTAAGGTGATTAGAATCAAATATTTCTCTTTTTTTAAGATTTATTTATTTATTTATACAAGCACTGGGTACAGTCAGAAGTGTGGGAGGGTGAGAGAATTCACCAGAACCCGAGCGGGGAGCAGAACAGGCAGACTGATGAAGTACACTGCTGAGGGGAGCAGCAGGCATGGCAGGAGAGGTCTGCATGCCATGTGGGACCCTCGCCGGTGGCCGGGGATCGAACTGGCGCTGCAGAGGCAGCAGACAGCTTCACAGCCCAGCGCTCAACCACTGCACCACCGGGGAGGCCCTAGAATCAAATATTTCCTTCCCCAAATGGTTGTCCTCGTGGTATACCCTGCTAAAGTCAACACAAAAATTAAAAAAAAAAAAAAACCTAACTCTGGGAACAAGAAAAGATGTACATATATTAATTAATTTCACTGGCACTTAAATAGCCAGTAAAAAGACAAATTATATTAGACTGGATTTAAGAATCCTGATTGTTGCTAATTAATAGAGGAAAAATATAACAGATATTTGTTTAAAATGACTGCAGAATTGAGACTACTAAAGGACAAGGATAGGAAACAAAGGGGGGATGAGCCAAATGGTGTAGAAGTAGGATGGGCCACTAAGCAGGTTTACTATGATCAAAGCAGACAGGGTAAATAAGAGTCCTGGAGCCCTCAATGGCTTTCTCAGTCTTTTATTGAGCTTTTATTTATAATGCAGCAACCAGGTACACAGCAGGCAGGGGTGTGGGGTGGGGGAGCAGAGGGCACAAGGCCTCCAACTCCCCCCCACCCCACAAGTCTTCACTCTGGGCTTTTCTCTCTCTTCTTTCTCCCCTTCTCTCTCCTGCCTCTGCTTCTCTTTTTTTTTAATATTTTATTTTATATAATTCTTAAATCATTTTTCATCTTTGTACAATGTACACATTTTCATTTTGATTATATTCCCCATACAATTGCACCCCCCCTCTTATTTTGACTCTAATTCTTCCTCTCCCCATCCCTCCTAATCCCCCCCATCCCGGGGTGTGTCTCTGGTTTATAGTTGCTTGTTGATTTTGATTATTACTTAGCATTGATTAGTCTTTTTCCTGGTCTCTTATTTAGGTTTTCTAAATTCCTGCTATGAGTGAGATCATCCCGTATTTTTCTTTTTCTGTCTGACATTTCGCTGAGCATGATCCCTTCTAGCTCCATCCATGTTGCTGCAGACTGCATGTGTTTATCTTTTTGATTGCTGAGTAATATTCCATTGTGTATATGTACCACACCTTCTTGATCCAGTCATCTATTTTTGGGCATTTGGGTTGTTTCCATAGCTTAGCTATTGTAAATAGTGCTGCTATAAACATACGGGTGCAGGTGTCCTTTGGAATTACTGTTTCTGTGTCATCTGGGTAAATACCTAGGAGTGGAATTGCTGGATCATATGGAAGCTCTATGTTTAGTAGTTCAAGAAATCTCCACACAGCACTCCATAGTGCTGGACCAGTTTGGACCAGTTTGCACTCTCACCAGCAGTGCAGGAGAGTTCCTTTTTTCTCCAAATCCTCGCCAACTTTTGTTGTCGCTAGTTTTTTTAATATGTGCCATTCTTACTCGTGTGAGATGGTATCTCATTGTAGTTTTGATTTGCATTTGCCTGATTACAAGTGATGTTGAACATTTTTTCATATGCCTGTTGGCCATTTGTATTTCCTCTTTGGAGAAGTTTCTTTTAGCTCTTCTGTCCATTTTTTGACTGGATTATTTTCTTTGCTTTTGTTGAGTCTCATCAGCTCTTTGTAGAGTTTTGTGATCAGTCCTTTATCATTAGTGTTGGGTGCAAAAATTTTCTCCCAGTCAGTGGGGTTTCTGTTTGTTTTTGTTATTGTCTCTTTTGCTGTGCAGAAGCTCTTTAATTTGATGTAGTCCCAGCTGTTTATCTTTGCCTTCACTATTCAGTGCTTGGGTGATGTGTCTGTAAAGATGTCTTTGATGTGCATGTCATGTAGTGTTTCGCCTATATTTCCTTCTATGTATTTTATGGTTTCAGGTCTTCTGTCTAGTTCTTTAATCCATTTTGAGTTTGTTTTTGTGCATTGTGTGAGGTAGTAGTTGAGCTTCATTCTTTTGCATGTAGCGACCCAGTTTTCCCAGCACCATTTATTGAACAAACTTTCTTTGCTCCAGTGCATATTCTTTGCTCCTTTGTCAAAAATTAGTTGGCCACAAATCTGTGGGTTTATTTCTGGATTTTCTATTCGATTCCATGGGTCTGTGTGTCTGTTATTGTTCCAGTACTATGCAGTTTTGATGATTATGGCTTTGTAGTATAGTTTGAAGTCTGGGAGTGTGATGCCTCCATTCTCTTTTTTTTTTTTTTTTCAGGAGAGCTTTGGCTCTTCGGGGTTTTTGGTGATTCCATATGAATTTCATCAATAATTGTTCTATTTCTTTGAAGAATGTCATTGAAATTTTTATTGGGATAGCATTGAATATGTATATTGCTATTGGTAGGATGGCCATTTTAATAATGTTGATTCTTCCAATCCATGAGCAGGGGATGTCTTTCCATTTCTTTGTGTCTTCTTCTATTTCTTTTAACAGTGTTTTATAGTTTTCTTTGGATTAGTCCTTTACCTCTTTTGTTAGATTTATTCCCAAGTATTTGATTTTTTGTTTTGATAATAAAAGGGGTGTTTTTTTTTTAATTTCTTCTTCAGATATATTGTTTGTGTGTAGGAAGGCTACTGACTTTTGTGTGTTGATTAGTTGAATTCGTTTTTCTGTGGAGTTTTTGAGGTTCTGTATGTATATTATCATATCATCTACAAATAGTGATAGTTTGACTTCTTCTTTTCCTATTTGGATTCCTTGTATGTCTTTCTCTTCTCTTATTGCTCTGGCTAGGACTTCCAGTATTATATTAAAAAGCAGTGGTGAGAATGGACATCCTTGTGTTGTTCCAGATCTTAATGGAAATGCTTTCAGCTTTTCGCCATTGAGAATGATACTGGCAGTTGGTTTGTCATATATGGCCTTTATAACGTTGAGGTATGTTCCTTGTATCCCAAGAATTTCAAGGGCTTTTATCATGAATGGGTGTTGCACTTTGTCAAAAGCTTTCTCAGCATCTATTGATATTATTATAAAGTTTTTATATTTCTTTTTGTTGATGTGTTGGGTAATGTTGATTGATTTTCGGGTGTGGAACCATCTTTGTGTCCCTGGAATGAATCCTACTTGGTTGTGGTGAATTATCTTATGGATACATTGTTGGATTCTGATAGCTAAAATTTTATTGAGGATTTTTGCATCAGTGTTCATTAGAGAGATTGGCCTGCAGTTTTATTTTTTTGTGTTGACCTTGTTCGGTTTTGGTATTAGTATAATGTTGGCTTCATAGAACATGTTTGGTATTATCCCTTCCTTCTCAATTTTTTGGAAGAGTTTGTGAAGGGTAGGCACTAATTTGTATCCGAATGTTTGGTAGAATTCATTTGTAAATCCATCTGGTCCTGGGCTTTAGTTTTTGGGGAGGTTTTTTATTACCATTTCAATTTCCCTGCTTGTAATTGGTCTGTTTGTGTGTTCTATTTCTTCTTTATCTAGCTTTGGGTGATTGTAGAGTTGTAGGAATTTGTCCATCTCCTCTAGATTGTTGAACTTGTTTCCACATAGCTGTTCATGGTAGTTTCTGATTATTCTTTTGATTTCTGCTGTGTCCGTTGTGGTTTCTCCTCTTTCATTTGTGATCCTGTTTATTTGTGCTTTCTCCCTTTTTTCCTTTGTGAGCCTGGCTAGTGGTATGTCTATTTTATTTATTTTTTTCAAAGAACCAGCTTTTGGTTTCATTGATCTTTTGGATTTTTTTTTTTTTAGTTTTGATTTCATTTATTTCTGCTTTGGTTTTTATTATTTCTTTTCTTCTACTGGTTTTGGGGGTTTTTTGTTGTTCTTTTTCTAGTTCTTTTAGTTTTGAGATTAGGTTGTTTCTTTGAGTTCTTTCTTATTTCTTGATGTGAGCCTCTATTGCTATATATTTTCCTCTTATTACTGCTTTTTGCTGCATCCCATACATTTAGGAAATTAATGTTCTCCTTGTTATTCAATTCAAAGAAAGTTTTAATTTCTTCTTTGATCTCCTCATTAGTCCAGTGGTCTTCTAGTAGTGTGGCTTTCAATCTCCATAAGGTCATAGAGTTCCTTGCCTTCTTTTTATGGTTTATTTCTAGTTTGATGCCTTCATGGTTAGAAAGGATGGTTGGTATGATTTCAATCTTGGTATATCTGTTGATGTTTGTCACGTGTCCCAGTATGTGATTGATCCTGGAGAATGATCCATGTGAGCTTGAGAAAAATGTGTACTCAGATTTTTTGGGGGTTAGTGTTCTATAGATGTCTGTTAAGCCCAAGTGCTGTAGATCCTTATTTAGAGCTTTAGTGTCTTTACTTATTTTTTGTCTCATTGATCTATCCATTGTTGATAGTGGTGTGTTGAATTCTCCTACTACATATGTATTTTCTCTGTTGTCTGTTTTCAAAAATGATAATAGTTGTCTGATATATTTTGGTGCTCCTTCATTTGGTGAGTATATGTTAATGAGTGTTATTTCTTCTTGAAGTATTGTCCCCTTGATAATAATGTAGTGACTGTTGGGGTCTCTTTTTACCTTTTTGAGTATGAAATCTGTTTTATCTGATATAATTATAGCTGTTTCTGCCTTCTTTTTTTGACCATTTGCTTGTGGATTGTTTTCCATCCTTTTACTTTGACTATTTTTATCTTTTGTAGTTAAATGTGTTTCCTGGAAACAGGAAAATGTTGGGTTTTGTTTC